TGGAGTAGACTTATAAAAACTTCACGGTGCAAATTAAGATGTTGGAGGAAATGCAAAAGAAGTTTTACATTAATGGCAACATGATGAGGACATTTTAAGATCATTGTGTGTGGTCCCAAAAAAGGAGAAAGAGCTGTAGCTTAAATCATAATATCATGTGCAACGTTCACGGTAGACAGGGCTAGTAGTTAGATTACAAACCACTGTCCAGCAAAAGTAAACAATTCTGGTGAAATAAACATCAGTACAAGTACTGAAGCTGAAAGTTTAAGCCGCAAAGTTCAACTCCACTAAAAATCAAGCCCAATAGTAGTCACTTGCATCTTCGTTCGCAAAAATAAGGTGATGGAAGCGCATGTTTTCCTGGGTGTACTGATTCGTTCGTATGAGACTTGAAGCATGGATAATAATTTCTAGTAGAAAGACTTTGATCAAGTGTGATGATATTGTTCTTTATAGATGTATATGTCTAGTAACAGCTAATAAGGTCAATTTATGAGGTTCTTTTTGCCTTTCCAGCCGCTAATAAGATCAATTATGCGTTTTTTTGCCTTTCCAGCCGTTGACTTCCTATCTCTGGAGTTTATCACTTCACATAGAGCTGCAAGATACATTTTTTGCAGTCGATAGGACAGAAGATTGTTGGTCTGTGATTTCGCGTACGATTATTATAAGGATCCTAAGATGGCGGGAATTCGAAAATAGTGCGAAGATAATTGCATTGTCTCATCTCTTTCTGAAGAACATGGTGAGTTCCTGCTGTTTTTTTTCTGTGTTGAGACTTTACAGTACTACATTATTAGCAGCGTTTTGCATAGTGCTTTGAGTACAGATTAGTTTATTACCTTCTTAATCATATCATTTTGCTAGGATATCCGAGGATTCTTTGGGAAGAAAAAGCCAACGACTCAGGAGCATTCATCCGGATCAAGCGCTCTGTCCGCTTTGAAAGCAACACCATCAACTCCGCAACCAGAGATCAAGAAAAGGTCGCAGAAAATTGACGTGGGCACAAAAGGAAAATCTCCTAAGAAGGCTAAAATTCCAGTTGTTGATTTGAGCGACAACGATGATTGTGAGTGCCAGATCATTTACTTCCTTTTTTGATGTATTCGATTAGTTCATGAAGAAATCCTCGGATATTTGAATTTCCGAAATATTTGATATTTTTGAACCAAATATCCGGGTTTTAGAACGCTTCGGATTTAAATATTTTATTCGGTCGTATATTCAATTCTGTCTATTGCATAATGCAGATGATGGAACGTAGAAGAAAGAATCCAATCCCATTTCTCTGGCAAAAAGTTAAACTTTCTAAATTTGATTCATATCTGGGGAAAAGGGATTAGACGTGCTGGATAAGGGTATGACATCCGTTTCGCACTTCCTCTTATTGTGGGATGCAATGGATCGCGGTAGCAAGCCATATAAAGATCTCCTTGAAAGATGTTACTGGGCGAGAGAAGGTGCTTATGATTTTGAGTTGGAGTGAAAAGCTACACATCTTGAGAAACGCGCGCAGTTTGTGGCACTTTCACTTTCTTTCCGTAGTCTCTTTTCGATTATAAAGAGGAAGCCTTGCCCTGATTTTGCTTGAGCAAAAGCGCCGCCGAAAAGTATTTGGGAAGAAGCATTTTTAGAGCCATTTTTCAAAAGTTCTTGCCAATCGCAGGTAATGCAATATCGCAATCTACTGATCTGTTAATGCTGACCACAATTATATCCATTTAATGCGGAACCTCTTGCTACTTGGATACGCTAAGCTTGTAGTAGATGGTCAACTCACAAATTTTCAAATTTTGTTTTAAAGTATTATGTATATGTCAAAGACAACTGCGGGGCGCAGCGTTTTAACATAAGCGGTAGCAAAGAATCTGATTTTGCTGCTACCGCCTACATACCATAATCAATCAAGAAAGCTCTAACGCCTGTTACACTTTGGATTTTTATAATCAGCATGTCAAAAGAGTCCCTGAAGGCAAAGTTTCAGCAAAATCCAATTTCTTGAAATCCCAAGTCCGGCCGACTTTGAATTTGCAGTTTTGTTGATTTTCTATCATTGATGGTTGAGCGGTAGGCCAAGATTGTCAATCGACTTTCGTTCAGCTGACATTCAGCGTCCGCCTTCCGCAGATCCTAAAGTTGAAAGTACTGAATCTTTTTCTCAAACGCTTAATTTTATTACAGAAAGACGAATCAAAAGTTGAAGGGCTTTATTAGTTAAAAAGAAACAAGTTGTTAGCACTTAACTCATTAGCCTTTCAGACGATTGATACGACTACCTGCTGTTGTTGCGCCGTGATAATACTGACTATTTGCAAATAAAATGCAAATAAAAGTTCGTTAACAGTCTTCTACACTATAAATGTCAAATTGTGATGGCTATCTGTACGAAGCTAGACAGTGGAAAGGTCCGTCATGTTGCGATGGGCTCTTTAAGACGTTTTAGTGAGCAACACAGTTGACCTTTTTCACGGTTAAAATTAGCGTACCTGTGATCGAGGCTATTTATAGATTTATGAAATGATGCTTTCCTTACTTTACTTATCAGGTCAAATAGCCTGAAGAGAAGCATATTTCGAAGAAATTATTGGGAAGTGTTATAAGTAGTTCATGGATGCTATCGCCGCGACTTCTTGAAAAGATTTGTTACAGCAGATGGAGAATCTCCGATTCCTTCATCGCTTCGCAAAGGGGTCAGCGAGCAAAAGCGTTCTTTGCGACGTTTGATCTCAGGTTAGTTCTGATACGCTTTTCTGGAAGTTTCTTTTCATAGTGGCAACCAGGCGCCTTTAGTCTATTTTTCAGCACAACACTTGCATTCTTGCTTGGGCACAAGTGCTAATTTTTTACTATACAGATTCTGATGACGACGATATCCCTCCGCCCAAATCTTCCAAAAACATTGCTAAGTCAATAAGCCCATCTCCTGTGAAGCCTTCAAGGGCAAAGAGATCTCGTGTGATAGTCTACGACAGCGAAGAAGACCAGTCGCCCGTGAAAAAGCAGAATAAGCCTGAAATGGTATCTGTTCATGAATCTGGTGATGAACGGGTACGTCTGCTTTACAATATATCATTCCCGTCTTAAATTCTTCATTTTTTTCTTTGTTGCTACCTTTGAGTAGGATTCTAGGTTTAGTCAAGCTTTGAGCAATTTTTTGCTTCTCAAACTATCTGCTTTTAGAGCACGAGCGAGACAGATAGCGAAAATGAATTCCTTGAGAAGAAGAAGAAAAAGAAAAAGGATTTACCAGCTGGACAGAAGAAGCTTTCGTTTGAAACGACTGCTAAAAAAGCTGTTCCAGGTGAACATTATTAGAATTATTATTTGGAAATAAATCCCCTCGCTCCAATTTACCTAACGACAGACACGCCTTTGATTTTTATTTCTTAAGAAAAGAAAGAGAAGAAGCCGACGGAGAAGCTGCAGCCTGTCAGCGCCTCTGACTTTTTTGGGGACACGGACGTTAAAGCAAAACCTACATCGTCAAAGGTACAAATTGTTCGAAAGGCAGTAGAATTTCATCATCAAGATGAAATTTACTTTGTATTGTCTTCAGAAGGAAGCGCAAAAGAGCTCAAAAGTTAGTCCTTCCCAAAAGGAAAACGCTGAAGTGAAACGTTTGAAATTGGATAAGGTAGCGTTCTCGATGATATCTTGAATTTCCCTTTTAATGTGCTGTTATTTGAGGCGAAGGAAAAAGAAAAGGATAGAGCTGGAGATAGCTCGGACAAAGAAGTAAAAGTTGATATCAAATCTAAATTATCTGAGCAGAAGTCGAAGAACAAGTCTGGAGCAGTAGAAGAGCGCAAAACCCTAGGAGAAAAGACTTTTGTGAAATCTCAGAAAGGTTGGCTTCTTTCCTGTTCAGTTGATGTTTAAGAAGATTACGATGTTTGTAAATAGGAACTACATTACAAGACAGTGGTAAGTCCAAAGGCTCGGTTGCATCTACGGTGAACATTCCCAAACCAATAAAGGTACGCTAAAACTCACTTAGTATGGATAACGTTCACCCATCCAGCTAGCTCTTAATAAAAACAAACTTCGCATCTTTTGTAGTGAATATCTCAAATTAGATTTTTAGCTGAATTTTGCTCGATTGATGTTTTTTTTCAATTTAAAAGATGGTGGGTTTTTACGAGCAAGTGACAGATGTTAATTTGCAGGGAGAAATCTTTGTTCCTTGGGTGGATAAATTTAAGCCAAGGAATGAATCTCAACTTGTCGGTCAACACGGAGATAAAAGCCCGATGAACAAGCTTTTGGGCTGGCTGAAAGATTGGGGCCGAAATAACCTTGGAGAGGGAGGCCGAGTCAAAAAACGTAGGTGGTTATATATTTGCCGCCACTTGTAATGAAAAATTGCATTCTAGCTAAGCCACCACCGTTCATGGCGCAGTCGGATGGAGCTCCATTCAAAGCCGTCTTGCTTTCCGGTACACCGGGTAAATATCATTCTGATATTCAAGGCAACGAACACTATTTAGGGTAGTTCTAGGGTGTAGTACTTAAGTTCACAAATCATTATCAATTTAATATCATTTTATATCTGCCTTCGGAATAGCTTTTTCTCTGAACAAAAACTCCTTTGGTCATTAATGGGTAGCTACGGACCCTTTGGCAAGGACGTGCCTTGAGCAGTCCTTCGCCTTCAGGCTAATATTTAATATTTGTTATTTCACAGGTATTGGCAAAACTACTTGCGCTGTAATGGCCTGTGAAAAGTTGGGTATGAAGATTGTAGAAATGAACGCTTCTGATGTTCGCAACAAAAAATCGCTTGAACAGCAGGTATGACGCAATCTGGAAACCCAACCAAAAGTCTTTCAATAGCTTATCCAACCCTCTTTGCTCAAAAATAAAGGTTACTCTGGAGTTACTATAAAGCTATAATTATTATAGCTATAAATACTTTTGCAGCCTGTCACCTTTTTAATTCTATTACTTCATTTTGCAGATTACCCAGCTCACTGGTTCACATCAGATTGAAGAGTATTTCAAGTATCAGACTGAAGGAGCAAGTGAGAAATTGCGAGGTTTTTCTTGAGTTGATCTTTTAAATGCTTTTTTTAGGTTCCGAAGAGGTGAAGCATGTTTTGATAATGGATGAAGTTGATGGAATGAGTGGTAATGAGGACCGCGCTGGGGTATGTTTTACTATCTATTTTAGTTGCTGAGTTATTACGCTAACATTTCTATGTGCCTATCATTCCTTTTCGTTTTTCCACCATCCTTCTCATTTTCATGACTCTCTTTGCTCATTCCAGGTGGCCGAGTTGATACAGATAATTAAAGATACAAAGATTCCCATTGTATGCATCTGCAATGATCGCCAACATCCGAAGATTCGAAGTTTGGCGAATTATTGTTTTGATGTTCGATTTCCGAAACCGCGAGTGGAGCAGATAAGGGTAGATTTTGAACGACTTACAAGATTCTATAGTCATGCTTAGCAGCAGCACTGAAATATCCAATGGAAAAAAAAAATGGGCAGAACTAAAAAATAACCTACAGGATTGGTACATATTTCTTTTCTTGATTAAACCTATTACTTAGGCAAGACTCATGTCAATAGCGTGTCAGGAAAAAGTCAAAATTTCCAAGGAAGAGCTCGATCAAATGATTGAAATGTCCGGTAAGACCTCAAGAATTCGCCCATTGTTAGCGTTAGAAAGATTAAAGTTTTCATATCCTCACAATCGTGGGAACCTTTTGATTATTCCAGAGTTACTGAAGATTGTTGAAAAACAGCTTTGATTATAAAAACGAGTGCTTTGCTCCAACGACAACTTGTACTTCTAGGACATGACGTGAGACAATCCATATACAATCTACAATTGTACGCATCCGCTGGTGGAAAAGCTAAGGTGCAAAAGAAGGACATAGCAGTTGTAAGCAGTTGATGTTGTGGATGTGGTGGAGTATTCTATCTGAAAACAGAAGAATCATATTAAGCGAACTGCCAGATTTAGGACTTACATTAACAGCAAATTTCCTAGGGTCCATTCGAAGCTGCTCGAAAACTTCTTGACTCGCGCTCAACCTTACAAGAGAAGCAGGATATGTTCTTTGTGGATTATGGTATTATGCCGTTGTTTGTTCAAGAAAATTATGTCAATATGCGGAACGACAAGCATACGTAAGCTTTTTTCTGTGTAGAGCTGTTTATAGATCACATATTATCAGAGGAAGTTTTGGTATTTTTTGTAAGGTACTGTCATATTTCGTTCGTTCTTTGCGGGGAGACTAGTTGTTCTGAACAAACTCCGCTTCGGAATAGTTTTAAAAAAGGTTCTGAGAGGTTTAGTCTTCATAATCCTTCGTAACATACTTTGTTGCTTAGCTTCCGGAAAAATTACCATCTTATACGTTTGTTTCTTTTTCTCACATTATTGCTGTAGATTAAATGCTCATTAACGTAACCCTGCTTTATCTTCCAGTCCCAAACAAGCTATGGCTGGACTGCGTAAGGCAGCCGACTTGATTGCGCATAGCGATACTATTGAAAGATGTATACGGTCTACTGGAACATGGAAATTGCTAAATGAACAGGTACTCGAGGCTTACTTTTGCTACCAATCTATAAATGCTCTGTCAATTCTATAGTTATAGGCTATGCTCGGATGCGCACTACCGTCCATAGCTGTAGGCGGTCATTTAAGGGCAATGATTCAGTTTCCAGCTTGGCTTGGTAAGAACTCAACAGCTAATAAACGACAGCGGCTCATGAGGCAACTTGCTACACATGCTCATCTCAGGTGCGTTTTTAGTTGAATCTATTGAAATGTGTTACCTTTACCTTATCACTTTTAAAGGATATCCGCGGATATGCATTCTTTGGTTGCTGATTATGTACCGATTTTACGTGATTGTCTCAC